TAAGTGAAGTTACAGTTCCTCCATTTCTAAAAATTGATGCTTAAGAAAAACTTGCATTTCCTAGAAGGGTCACTAAAAAAACTTTTCCAAGCAAACAGAACTCGCCATTTCTAGCAAAGAAATGCAGCTACTCCAGACTGGGGGCTGATGCACCTTAGTCTCATTGTTTAATACAGTGCATTGTTTACCCATGTTTTTGCTGTGTCAGCCTCTTCTCGGGAAAGGACTGTTAAACACACGCACCCTCCCCTTTGGGATCTCAAAGCTTGAGTAAAGGGAACAGTCACATGAAAATGTAAGACTTGTGATAAAAGGGAAAATAGCAAAACATGGCTGCAACAGTCTAGAATTTGAATTTTGCAAAGAAAGATGCGGTACTGTGATCTTGTTCATGGACAAGTACAGGCACTTGAATCTTATGATATTTTAAGCACTGCTGTGCAGCTTGCTTCCTGGAAGGCTGTGCAGGACTATGTCACTTGGAGGGGTTTTATTTGAGGGTTTTTTTGGTTTTATCTTACTGCACTGCTATAATTTCTGCCCTTTGTCATCCCAAGTACACGTGAATCATTTCTGCCCCTCTTCACCAGCACAATGTTTAACAAGCACAAAGTTTAACAAGCACAATGATAGGATTCTAGGGGTGATGACTTTGCTCCGCCACTTGTGTGGAGAAGAGGAAGGTAAAGTGTGGCCACATAGTTGTCTAGTGCCCATCACTAGTTCAGATAAAAGAAATAGTACAATGGCAACATACTTTGTTGCTGGTGTTCCTCTGAGTTCTAGGTAGGTACTGTTGTGTATGGGCTATTTGTGATGTTTGCCACAGCGGTGAGGATCTAGCAGATACTCTCCCGCAGCCCTGAAACAATCTTCATGAACTGGGGCACCAGTCTAACTTCTTGTTTCTGCCTTCACAGGGCTCCATTAAATGAGACACTGGTGATAACTCTTAACATTACACACTCATCAAAACACAGCACTATTGTTGAACTGCCTGATGAAGTAAGTGACAGAACAGTTCTGACCTTATGCAAAAGCTACCGCTAGTGTGGTGCAATGCTCATCTTTCTTCCCTCCACTTTGCCTCGCAGGTAGAAGTGCCTGCAGGCCACACTAAAGCAGACTTCCAAGTGAAAGCAGATGATGTTGGACAAGTAACAATTTATCTTTATACCATTAATTCCAACTTAACTGGGTGAGAAACTGGTTTTTAGTTCCACTTACTATCCTACAGCTTCCTAAACTTTGGGGTGACTATTCCCTCCTTATAGTTAATTGGTTAGTGGGACATGGGTGGTATGTAATTGAGAGGATGTGGTGCCCTTCCTGCAGTCCCCAAGGTATTCGGTTAAATACAGGGTGTGGAAGCAGAGCCATAGTCTCGGTATCTCAGATTTCATTACTAGATGACTCTTAAGTTCTCATGGCTCCTTAGGCTGGTTTTAACAACCACTCTCAAAAGTATCAAACCCATATGTTAGCTTTTCTCATCCAGGAAGCATTTGGTTTTAAATGTCCAGTGGGATACTGTTCTTACCGTGCAGAACTTGTCCTGGAGTGCTTGTAGCGTGATGCAGCTGTGTGCCCACATCACTGCCGTGAGATAGAGGTGGTTTGTGTTCCAGTTAGGGGAGCCCTCTTTTCCCAGACACCAGCCTTTCCTAACAGGAAAACAGTCTGGCAGGGTGGAGAAAGCTGGATTGTATTTGCTTGTTGCCCAGATGCTACTGAGCAACAGGATACTCCTGGTTTACTTCCTCATTTCACTTCTGCTTTTAAGGCTCAAAGCAAATGCAGAGATAAGCACATGAAATGCTCGACAGGACAGGCCTGATCATGAGGCTTTGCTGGCAGACAGTGAAAAATGGAACTCTGCTCTTGCACAACAGACCTCATGCTAAGAGAGTGGAAGCCATAGGCACAAGATGACCTTTTTGAAGATTTCTATGGTAAAAGAATGGAAAGAGAAGAGTGAGACAAGAAGGAAGGGATAGGTTGAGGGTAGCAGTGGGAGATGCCCAAAACATAACAAGGGCACTAAAGAAAAGGGGTGCAACTCTACTTAAACCAGCTCTGAATCTTTATTGCCTTGTCTCAGCACCTGGACTCTTGTTTTCTCTCTGAAAGCAGAACAAGGCAAAATCTGCTGGAAAAAAAAAAAAGTGTGAAAGGACAAATTAACTAATTCTGTTTGCATTAACCATCAGACCTAGGATTCGATTTCAAGTGATTCATAGCATCATAGTGAGATACGCTGATGAGGTGATTGGCTGGATCTATTTCCTTGCCTGGTCGGTCTCCTTTTATCCTCAACTCTTTGAGAACTGGCGACGAAAAAGGTAAAGAGACTTAAGATGTGTTTGTAAGTCACTTAAGTGCTTCTGTAAATCAAGTTCCCAGCTTCAGTTACATCCCTCTTGGTTACTGTGAATCATGCATGGAAAGACTGGAGCTAGGGGGAAGAAAGACCTGAATAAATGCAGCCCCAGTGAGGTTTTATACATGTGGGTCAGCAGAAACTGAGTGCATCTTACAGACACCTACTCCCATGGTTTGGCATCCAACACGAATTTGTGATAGAGGAGAATTCCCTGTTCCCTTTGGCGTCATGCTGTAAATCATCTGGCCAAGCCAATTATGCTGCCCACCTTCGAGGATTACTTACCTTGTGAGCTGCTTATCGGACAACTCCTTGTAGTGTTGTCGTTAGGCCAGCTCCCGTAAAACTAAGGAAGTGGAAACATTGTTATGTATGAAAATGAACACATTTGTTCTGGCAAAGATGCACTACTGCTTCTGTGGGTTCAGGCTGGGATGGTTGTATCAGACTGGCTGAGCTCATGGAAGGGTGAAGTTAAACAGTGGGGACACAACCTTGTCAGTGAGAGCTGTTGTGAGTACCGGTGCCTGGCCTGTGAGGGATATTTTACCTTGCTTCCTGATGAACTCACAGCATCATGTTGTCACAATGCCTGCAGCTTTGGCTTTCATCAAAAATTGCCTATAAATCAGTACATTCTAGGATCAAGTTGTCCCTGTATATTTCTCATATTTTTTTTTCCCCCCTTCTCTAGTGTTGTTGGACTAAGCTTTGACTTTTTAGCGTTAAACCTTACTGGCTTTATAGCATACAGTGTGTTTAATATCGGACTCTTCTGGATTCCCTTGATTAAGGTAAGCGTGATTATCTCTTAGTGCTTGGCAGGGGTGTCTGTAGAAGGGAGTTAAGGCACCTAACAATGTTTCTCTTACACTTAGGAGGAATTCTTAGTCAGTTATCCCGGTGGGGTGAACCCTGTGGCTATCAATGATGTCTTCTTTAGTCTCCACGCAGTAGCTCTCACTCTCCTTACCATCATTCAGTGCTGCATCTACGAGGTAAGTCTCAGTGCTGGGCTGGCCTGTCAGCTCGGGCTGAGCTCCCTCTGCCGGACACCTCGCCACTCACCGTCCACTCCTTTTGGGCTCCGAAGTCCTCTTCGTGGCACAGTCGTTGGCCTTTCAGGAGTCAGGCTTCACCGTCCAGCTGCCCTTATCTTTCCTGAGCCAGTAGCAACTCCACTAAGCTTGGCCACTTCAGCCTCATGGATGTTCTGAGCTTATAAGTGTACTCCTTAGGAACTCAAAATAATTAAGGCAAACTGCCAAGTTCAGAAAGTTCCCAAACAGATCTCTAGCCAGCACACAGATTACAGCTCTACCCAGTACAAATGCTGGTGTGCGCTTTGCTGTTTCCTCACTACTTGGAGCGTTCTTCAAGCTGGGGCAGGTCTTTAGGGATTCCCTGCAAGTCAAACTTTCAGCTTTTTTCAACTTCTTTTCTCATAAAACAGCTGCAAAGGCCCTTTTATAATTCCCACCTTTTCAGGTGAGACTGATGGTCATAGTCAGGTGGTTCTTTATTTAATTCCCACTGATGGTCATAGTCAGGTGGTTCTTTATTTACTTCCCATTGTAAAAGCCAGTTTTCTCTAGATGGTAACTGTTTCTCTCTTGAGGTGCTTCCTTTGGTGATGCTCAACCTAAAGATGTAACAGCCTCTTTGTCACTACTGTTAGGTGCCATAGTCTTTTCTAATGAAGGATTAGAACAACACCGTGCATCTTTTACCATAATGGCATTAGCAGCCTCTTGCACATGTAGGAACTCTTGATGTCATCAGACTGAACTCAGGAGGCTGTTACAGACGTGGCACTGATAACAGCATCATAAACACCCCAGAATACTGCCACAGTATTGCTTCCTGCTTGCTCCCAGACAACAGTGTTCCAAATGACTGATATTGAATATTGCTCTTGAGCTCTTGCAAACCTGCAACTGGTTGCTGTGGCACTCATTTAATTTTAAAATCCCCTTGTGCTGTGAGCCTAACTGGTACAACAACAGGTTTGGACTGTGGCCTTGCATAGTCCTGAGCATATTCCGTATCTTAGAGTGTGTCTGGGGTTGTTTGGCCTGGGTCAGTCTAAGTGTATCTGCATTTCTGTTTCAGAGAGCAGGTCAGAAGGTATCCAAAGTTGTTGTTGCGCTACTGGCACTTGCATGGATCTTCACATTTACAACGTTGTTTCTTGCTGCAGCTGAGGAAATGACATGGCTACAGTTCTTATTCTGCTTCTCTTACATTAAGTTAGCAGTCACACTCATAAAGTATTTTCCACAGGTAAATCTGAACTTTTCTGCTTTTACACTATATTCCTGTCACCCTACACGTGTAATGTACGTTCTTGAAAGTCTGACTAGACTAAACCAGCAATGATTGTTTATTAAATCTTTTAGTGACAAAAGTGTGTAGGTATACAGAAGGCTTCTTAACTGTTAACCTCAGAGATGCTCACACGTGACATGCTGACCGACTTCTTGTTCCCCTCTCAGGCCTACCTGAACTTCCGTAGGAAGAGCACTGAGGGATGGAGCATTGGAAATGTATTACTAGACTTCACTGGTGGAAGCTTCAGCCTTCTCCAGATGTTTTTGCAGTCATACAACAATGGTAAGGCTGGAACTGAGGTGGTGGGGCCTTTCTTCAGGGGGTGGGAGAATTCTGCTACAAAGCAGATATAAACTGGTAGGTTACCTTGGGAGAATGATGTTTGTGCTAGAGTACGGGTGGTTATACGACAAATAAGAATCTGTTCATAGTCCTTCAAGGCAGAAAATGGAACAGTTATCCTAGAGAAACAACAGGAACAGTTATCCTAGAGAAACAACAGGAACAGTTATCAATTGGCTTTGCGTAAGATGTACCCCACGGTCAGTCTTAGGGTGTGTCTGAGCACTCCAGGTAATAAACGTGAACTTTGCTAATATGTACATCACAACCTCGTAGTCCTGAGACAAGACAACCCTTGAGGAGTTGGTTAACTTAACGCTCTAATTTTGTGTTTGACAGATCAGTGGAAGTTAATCTTTGGAGATCCAACCAAGTTTGGCCTGGGTGTCTTCTCTATCATCTTTGATATTGTCTTTATCATCCAGCACTACTGCCTGTATAGGAGACGAGGGTATGAACCTTGTGAATAACATCACTTGTGAAAACAAAAACTTTAAACTGAACTTGCCCCTACCCTGGCTGAGGGCTTTCAAGATGCCTGCTGCCAGTTACCAGAAATACTGATTCTGATCTCCGTTTATACCGTCATCCTTTCTGGGATGGAATACAAGCTGTTGCCTCACCAAATGCTGATTGCCAGATGCCTTAAAGGACCACAAGCTATCTAGCCACCACTTGCAAATAGAAGACTCACGCCTGTTGAAGCTGCAAAGACAGCTTAGGGTGAGCTGTCCAAGCAACATGTGGCTCTTTTCCATTAACAACAGGAAGGAGAAAGACCAGAGTGATCTTTCTGATTGGAAGTGAAGCACAAAGAGCAGAGTTCTGGCTTCCAAAAATCTGAGATCATGTTTAAGCAACCACTTAATATCTTAATGACTGAAGAGTGTCTGTGGATGGAAGTGCTGCTGCTGACTCCTCACAGCCAGATCACAGTGAACCACTCGGGCTGGCTGTTAACAGCCGTAGTGGTACATACGAGAATAATGAGGTTGGTAGCAAAGACAGAAATATTAGAACCTGAACTCTTTATTTAAAAAAAAAAATACTGAGAAGCAGCAGAAGCTGCATTCTTATTTCACTGAAAGCTTTTTCAAAGTTGTTAAGCCAAGTGCTGAGATTTATCTGAATATTTCTAGCACACTAACTTCATTTTGCGCAGTTTTACTGATGTGCCTTGAATCCTAAATGGTGGATGGTCAACATTAATCAAAGAGACTATTTTTAAGCAGATCATGTTAACAGCCCCATGATTAAAGTTTAAACGTGGTTTTGTTCCTGGGCAACTTTCTGGCTGCATGTGGTATGTTCTAGGTAGAGATCAAGGTCTTGAGTTATTGAAGGTAAGCGTTCTACCCTTTAGAAGAACTAGAAGGGAATCATGCGCTTGTACTTCAACACTCAAAGGCTACTATGTCTTGGGAGGTGTCAACCTAAAACCCCTAACACTTAAAAAAACCAAAACCCATCCACCTAGGCAAACTGGAACCCTTCTCCCCCCTGCCAGAGACCAGAGGAGGTCTGGCACCTCACTAACACTGCAAACACTTACCAGGGAAGTCAGCCCTTCTAACCTCAGGCTGCAGTGTGTGGATGTACTCTGCAGTCCACTTGGAGCCAGAAAACCAGTCAGAGCTGGAGGCATTCCCGTGATGGGGGATTCTTACACGTAAGGAGAAACAGCTCAGGAAATCCAACTTTGTTTTATTGTGTGTAAAATCAAGTGAAATCGCAGTACAAATAGCAGTGTATCTTTATAGTAACAAAAATAACTTCAACTTGAAAGCCTTAAAGTTTACCACTGATTTCTTCAGTTACAAAATTCAAAAGCAGGATCGTAGTAATTCCACAGATATAAAAACAGTAAATAGGCACCTGCTGGTGGGTACAGAACAGCCTGAGATGCATTACTCACAACCCACATCCATGGCACAGCAGTAATTACTGAATAAGTTAGTCTGCCACCTCCTCATGTCCTATTTACAACAGTTTACCTGAAGACTGCTTAAGGGAAGTATAGATATTTATAAATCAACTGAAGGGGATTAAGAATTCCAGGTTTTGCGTAAAGCTAGCTGGTTAACAAGCCACTAGGATGCTTGATAATTAACTTAGTGTTGCAGCAAGAATCTTAACTCCTGTGGCATGTGGATTTACACAACTTCGTATCTTACCAGAAGTTTAAATTTGGTCAAGAGGCACTTTTGCACATTACTGGCATATTCATCTCATCGGTGATTTAAACAAAGTCACCTACAAGACAGAGAAAAATCTACCCCTCCCATTTCAAGTCTGATAGGAGTGGAATGAAGAACTGAAGACTCTACCGCTACAAGCAGCATTTTTGGTAAGTTCAGCAACAGTGTTTTCTTTCCTGCCCCACATTCCTTTCACTTAAACTTGATTCATTTGATGTTACAAACTGCTCGGTAACAAGAATTAAGGTTTTATTCTGACAGTGAAGTTGAACTGCAGTGTCTATGAACATTTAGTGTACTTCAGGCATCAATCCAACACTTGTGTGTTACTTAGTTGTTTGTTTCTTGTCTGAAGAGGCTGCTTTGTGCAGGGAACCTTTGCAGTAAACCGTAATGCCCCAAACCCCTCAGCATACTGTCTAGCTAGCACGCAATGTGGGATTAGTGCAGTGCTCCTCCCCGCAGCGGTGTGCAACTCTTACTTCTGGCATTTTAACTTGATAGCTTTGGGGGACAGGACAGCTCGCTTCTGAAAGCTTAAGCGCAGCAAACCCTCTCATCTTCCATAGCAGAAACCGCATTTCCTCTTAAAATAGGAAGCTTTTGTGCTACAGAAGAATCCTGTCAAAATTAAGGCTTTTCCAGTTGCTTCCTTAGATAACCAGGATTTGCCCTGTCCTCCTGAAAGTACAATATAAAGTCTTACTGTGTACCTGCAGGGAAGACTTCAGAGAAGCACTCTGCTGAGGGGACTAGAGTTTCACTACTGCCAGTTACACCAGAGGAAGGAAAAAAAAAAAAAAAAAAAAGGTGTTTACCACAGTTAGGAACATGCACTTCTTCCAGACAACCCGTTCGGGTCTGTATTTGCTTCCTTGCTTGATACCAGTCTGTATCTCTCCCTCCCCAACCCCTCCCCAACTTGGTCATCGATTAGGACATCATGGATTGCTGCACAGCCTTCTGTAGAGATTGCCTGGTCACCAGCAGCCGCACCACTTCTTCGTTCCTTTTTGTCAGCCTCTTCCTAGCTTGGTCGTGGGTCACCATTGTCATATCCCAGCCGTTCACCTAGGAAAAAACCGTCAGTGAGGCAGGGGTGTGGTGTCCCACAGCTGCTCTGTCAGGGCTGTGCAGTGGATATGCTTATGCCACAGCTCAGTTTATTTATAAGCCCCCCAGACTGTCCTGGGGAGTCCCCAGAAAACAGCATTTCCCCCAGCGGGAACTCCTCCATAGCGTGCACCTGGTACCGCGTTAGTACTCGTCTTATCTTGGTGTTTACCTGCATGATCTTATCTCCAATCTGAAGTCCTGCAACTTCTGCTGGGCCTCCTTCTGTCACCCTCGTTACATAGATACCCTGGGGAAAAAAGTGTTCATTTACTAAATATGGAGCATTAAATACTCAAGGGCCATTCTACTGACAACGCAAAACCACTTTGTAGTTTGTGGCGGGATTCTAGTTCAAACCAGGTTTGTGCAGCGTTGGAAAACAGAGGAGCGGAGAGCAGAGTTAAACCAGCTTCGTCCGCCAGCGATAACGTGGCAACAGTGACGGCAGGAGTCAGCTCCGCGGGAGGACGGAACACGGAGGCAAGCGAGGCGAGCGGGCTGGCCGAGCGGGATCTGCTCAGCCTTTTGCAGAGAGAGCTGCCGCAGAACACAAAGAGCATCTGACCTTGTCGGTCTTGTCTTCAGAGAAAGGGTTCTGAGTAGGATCCTGATCAATGCCACCTCCGATGCTGAATCCCAGAATCAAATTGTCACCTTGACGAAGCTTATGTATTTCAATTCTTTGCTGAAAAAAAAGATAAAATAGAAATCTCAAGTGTGTTTCAGACAGCGATACTGAAGGCCCTGTTACTGTCTTTCACAGAGATACCGTGAACCTGCCAAAGGCGGCTGTTAGGGTCACCAGGCTGTGGTGCAAAGAGCTCCAACACCCCGCGGTGGCACAGAACTATCACGCGGCACTTGCTGTCTGTCAGCCACAGCACCCTTGGCGTTGACAGCAGCTGGCTCTGACCTGCTCTCAGCCCTACCAGGGCAGGAAGCCATCTGCCGCTCATCCCAAGGGCTCTCAGGCCGGGACACAGCCAAGCTCCTTAACTACTCAGCGCTTTCCTGCTGCCCAGAGGTGCACGGGGAAAACACTAAACCCAGAGCTGGTCTCTTCAAACATGAGTCACATCTCGATAACCAGCCGTCACTCAGAGCTGGACTCATTTTGCTCTTTATCCACGTGCCTGGTGTTCCTGCCCGGCCCTATCAGGGGCAATAACAACCTATTATTAGGATGGTTCTTTTCCAAGGTAACCTCACACACTTCTGTAATGCAGAGGCGGGATGAACGCGGGCACCTGACAAGCCTTACGCGTTATCTAAGCGCAGTATCGGTGCTGACCTGTGCAATTCTTAAGCCAAGAGAAGAAGCCACACTCTTAACTGAAACAGTAGCTGCTCAAAAGCTTCTCCAGGCTGACCCAGGGGAAGGTGTCCCTGCCCGGGGCAGGGGGGCTGGACTCGATGACCTCTAAGGGTCCCTTCCCACCCAAACCGGTCTGTGATTCTTCTCCCCCTGCCCCGGGCAGGCACGGAGTTGCCCAAAGGGCCCGGGCTCTCGCTGGGGCACAGCCTGCTTGGCCACACCGCCCCAAGCACCCCTGAGTTCGGTATTTTAACCGGCGGACGGCAC